AAGAGACATGAAGAAGAGGGGACACATGTTGATGTAGAAGAGACATGAAGAAGAGGGGACACATGTTGATGTAGAAGAGACATGAAGAAGAGGGGACACATGTTGATGTAGAAGAGACATGAAGAAGAGGGGACACATGTTGATGTAGAAGAGACATGAAGAAGAGGGGACACATGTTGATGTAGAAGAGACATGAAGAAGAGGGGACACATGTTGATGTAGAAGAGACATGAAGAAGAGGCGACACATGTTGTTGATGTAGAAGAGACATGAAGAAGAGGGGACACATGTTGATGTAGAAGAGACATGGAGAAGAGGGGACACATGTTGATGTAGAAGAGACATGAAGAAGAGGGGACACATGTTGATGTAGAAGAGACATGAAAAACTGCAATTCCAATATCTTGCAATACCTCCAGGTTTTGTCATTTAAACTCTGTTATACTGTAGATAAATCTACAGCAATGCATCAGATCTTCATGTCCTGTGAGAACAACGCATTGACAGAAAAACAGCCATGTTTTCAGCTTGGCCTTTTGCAGCAGATAAGGCGTTTTAAAGACAGGATTTAGCTTGAGATGTAGCAGAACTTTCTCAAAACAATAAGGAAAACTTCATTCTTTAGTTTATCATTAATGCATGATATTAACTGGACATGAAAGAGATGTACATTGTAATCTATAATAAGGCTAATATGTCAAATATTAGCCTCTAAGATGTGGAGGAGGAGTATGAAGTTGCATGAAAATGAAATAAAAGCACCTCAAAGTAATACCTACTTGTGTGAATGTAATCAGTTACAATCCAGCACTGGTAACATTGCTACTGTACACTATGTCTTGGCTTTAGGGAAGAAAAAGCAGTAGTAGTGTGAAAGACAGATGTAGAAAAGGCAGCCAAACCAGTGAGAGGATGCAGATCTACTCGCAGAGGGAATAGACACAGAGGGAGTAAGGTTAAGACTTGTGGCTTTTCTAATGCGGCCTTGTACTTGAGGTTTGGCCCAGTGTGTGTCCCCTCTCCCTGACCCTGCCCACCATACTGAAAAGTCATTGAGAGTCTAGAAGAAATGCTGTTCAGAGCGGAACATGCTTGGCTTGTCTGCCTGTGTAAAATCACGCTCTGCTATCGCACGTTCAAAGCACCACTGTTTTCTCCATTAAAGTTTTCCATGGAAAACCAGAAGCCAAATTCCAGAATTCCCGGTTGAAGTGTCAAGCTAAGGCTGATAAAGAGCTAGTGTGTGTGTGTTGGGTGTGTTTGTGTGTGACAGAGACAGAGAAGGTGGAAGGGAAAAATACGGAGTAGAACAAAGGGAAAGCTGCCTGTTTTCCTAAACCACAACTTCGGAGTAACGATCCAAACAAATGAGGAATGAAGAGGAAGAAAAAGCTTGATGGGAGGGTGGCCCTCTATAATTGCAATGAAATTCATCAATGATGTTTTTATATTGTAGTGACCTTGCATCCATTCAGGACAGGGCGCCTGAGACATTCCACCTGAGCTGACCAACAAAACGAACAGAACAAAACAAAGCCTGTTTCACAACCGCCTGTCTGAACATTGACTCACATCTCTGTCATGGTGCTAGGCATGTGGGCTCAAGATGCATTAACATCAACAGCGTGAAACACAGCTGTATCTATTGTGCATTGTTTAGCACAAATGGGTAAATTAGACGCTCTGTGTTTGTGTAAGGAAAAGGAAGTTGACTTCTTGTGGCTAATTTTTACAAGTTTCCATCACAGTCATCATGTCTGTGGTTCACTGACCGATACCTGAGGCATGCTGTGATGATGTCAGTGTGTGTTGATGGAGAAGCCATGGCAACAACTTCCTGAAGTGATACTCGGATATCTGATATACTCCTTAGGGGCTGATTTAATAGAGTGTTGCAGGAATAAGTCTTAAAGCCCAGAAATTAGTCAGCGTTTTTCCACTTTTGGTCGCTGGTGTTGAAATCAAACTTTTTTGCTTCAATTAATGTCGGTAGTTAGCACAAGCTTAAGAGATCATCATGTTTTGTTTTAGGACCAAACATGTGCCAGTAAATACCACACTTAGACATTTTGGAGCTTTCGCATGGCTTAAACAAGGCATTTGCTAACAAGCAGCTAAATGAGACTACTATAAAACATCAAATCAAACATTCGTCCTCTTTAGTTAAATGGTGGTGACATTGAAGTTATTTGCTTTTTTAGGTTATCTTTTTATTTCTGCTGATTGCATTAACACTTAAAAATGACATTGTCTGAATGAACAAAATGTTTAAGAATCATACACCTTTGTTAGCCACAGGGCTTATTTTATGCAATTATTGAAAAAAGGGAAATTCCATTTGATTGGGCAATGCCAACTTTCGGGTTGGCTTCCAAAAATTCTTCTTCCTTGCAACACTCTATACATCCTTGGGCTTCATGGAGACAATTTGCTTAGAATCTGCACTGCTCATATATGTTTTAAACCCTTAGGAAGTACACACTTTCAGTTTATAAACAGGCCACTTACACTTGCCGACTGTATGCTAAACAACAGTAGGCCTATAAGACGTCATTAAGTTGTTTTACGCTCTCACCTGCGGCTCTGTAACTGTCAAACTTTCTGTCAATTCACCACCAAGACTCATTGAGCTTGAAAGAAATGTTTTCCACAAGCTTTACATTTTCCATTCTGCCCGAGTGTGTAAAAACTAAAGCGAAAGACAGGGACATACAACTGGACACAGAGACACACAGACAAAAGCCAAATGCTAACAAAAGCCATATGTTATAGCCGAGGCAGCCATCCAACTACAGTCTGACACTGCAGAGCTCTGTGACTCTGAAATGTAATTGGACACATACAGAGGCACTTTACACCTCTGCTGAAATGCAAATAGTCGACCTGCTAAATTCAATTACTCAACAACTTCTTCTGCTTTGTTTGAAATGTGAGCATCATTGGGCTCAATTCTTTTTGACGGAAAGCAGTGTATGAGATCTTCAGCCACCTTGAGACGCGTGTTTACATCTGATTGTATATGAATAGTGGAAAAGATTATTTTTCTACAGACCTGAACACCACACAAGACACCCTAAGCTCCCCAACTGTATTTAACACTACCCTATTATAAAAAGCAGTATTGTTTTTATAAGAAATTTGTTTGGTTGGTTTAGTCAACAAGCTTACTACTTTAAGCTAACAGTTGATGCTTTATCTGATACATTTAATGCTAACTATTTTAACTACCTTTACTTCTAGCTAACCATTTTAACTGCCTTTCTATTAGGTTTATAACTATAAAGTTACTATTTTGACTGTTTATCTATCGCTTTAGATAATTATTTCAAATGTTTCCTTTGGCTAACTTCTTTTCTGTTTACTACATTTGGCTAACTGACTAACATTACTTTAGGCTATTTTTTTTCCAACAGACTTTAACCTAACACTTTTCCCCGATAGATTTAACACCAGCCATTTCAACTACTTTTACTTTTAGCTAACAACTTGAACTGTTATCATAACTTTAAGCTAACCATTTTGACCATTACCTAACTGTTTCATCCTCTCTGCTAAATTGTTCACTAGCTAGTAAAGAACAAATTGGAGAAGGAAGAGAAACTGATGCAGTATCCATCTCTGTAAGAAGCGCAATAGATGTGTTTATGGAATATAATTAGAATACAGACAATACATATTACACAATAATATAAAGATGGACTCCCGTTGGACTCACTCTTTGTATGTTTGTCTACCAGAAGCTCTGTCCCACTATTTTCTCCCTACACTCTTGAATCAGACAGTGGTGATGTTGTATACGAGTGCATGATCCTAATTTCCCTAATGACAAAACAACTCCTCCTTCATCCCTCGTGACATCCTTACTGCCAACATTAAAAACCCCTCTGTGCTGCATCCAGCCAACACAGATGGAAGAAATGGTGAGCACAGCAAAAACGAGGAAAGGGAAATGGAGAGGATTAAGGAAGAGGGTACAACTAGGGAACTTTACAAAGACCAGTGAGTTTACTTTACAAAGACCAGTGAGTTTACTTTACAAAGACCAGTGAGTTTACTTTACAAAGATCAGTGAGTTTATACAGTATACACACATCACAACAGACACAAAAGTTGATGGAATGCTGACTGTAACTTTCCTGGGCTTCCCAAACCTCTTCAAGGGCCGTACTATTTTCAATTTGCACATCTACAGTAAGCGCTTTGCTGACACACAGCATCAGTTGTTGGTGGTTTAGCTCTTATGGCAAGCATATAACATAAATGAATTACATTTTATTGAAAGGAATTCAGTGCAAGGGATTTAGGAGTATTGCTCGTTCTTACCTTCCGACCTTCTTGGCCAGTCAGTCCAAACGGGCCAGTAATCCCTGAGTCTCCCTAAAACAGAAAGCACAATCATCAAAATGCACTTATGCAGCATTAAGGAGCATGCCAAGCAGGACGTTGTTAGAAATTAATGTAGCGTGTAAGAAAAGGTGAACTACCTTCTCTCCTTTAGGTGCTGGCCCAGGTGACATGCCAGGGTCTCCTTTCCTACCCTGATTAAGAAAGAAAAATACAAAGGAGGACATTGTGTGGGTGAATTTCTCTGAATAACACCTTTTATTTTAGACAAAAAAAAGGGCGATGGTGTAAATCCATTGCCTTTACATTTTCCATACATAGGTTATAGGCTACAATTGATGCAAAACAACAGGATTGAGTTGCCATGTAGCTGATAGACTCCCATTACAGATGCTTTAGATGAACAGCATTACATGGGTTTAGTGCCCCTCAGGTCACGCACAGCAAGCTTCATTGTCAGCAGGTAACAATAACGTGGCTTCAGCATATCAAAGCTATGGATCGGAAATGAGTGCTGAGTGCATGGACCCCTGCTATTTACAACTTTATTTAATTTATTAACGATGAAAGAGGAAAGATTGCAGTGCACCCCGAGAAATCAAAGCTTCAGAGTTATTTTCTCAACACACCTGCCAGGTAGAAAAAGTCTGCTCGGCACCAGTCTGCTGAGAATTTGCTCACAGGCACAGTTTCAATTTTTTCCCGCCCAGTATTAATCAAGTACTTAGTGTATGCCCCTGAATCTGGCATTCTGTGTGAGTATAATGGCACGTTTCCACTGCAGCGCGGAGCTCGCTTTAAGCGTGCCGAACCGTGCAGGGCTCGTTTTTGGTTGCGCTTCCACTTGGCCTAGTTTTGGCCCGGGGCTACTTTTTCACCTTTTTTCTGGCCCGACTAAATCGTGGTTCTATCGAGGCCAACAAATAGGGCTGAGTCGGGCTGAGTTTGCTAAACTAGAGAGAGAATCGCTGTCAAGGGGGCTACAACTACAACAAGACGAACATATTTGACCGTGATTTAATTGTAATACACGTTTCAAAATGATGCCGTAACAACATACTGATACCGGTTAGTAAAAACCATGAATTAATGCTTTGACAAGTCTGCAGACAGACGGCAGGAGAAAAACCTTTTAAAATGTGTGATCTTCTTATTATAGACACATGCATTTCCAAACATTTGGTCTACCTACGCTGTAAAATGTATTATCTCTTCAATTTACACACGGCATCTATTGCACGTCTGTCCGTCCTGGGAGAGGGATCCCTCCTCTGTTGCTCTCCCTGAGGTTTTCTCCCATTTTCCCCTTTAAACTGTGGGTTTTTCTCCGGAGGTTTTTCATTGTACGATGTGAGGGTCTAAGGACAGAGGGTGTCGTTTTCTCATACTGATATTCTGCACAAACGGTGCCGTTGTATTTGCTGTACAGTGTCTTTACTGTAGGGTATTTTTATTATATGTACAGCACTTTGGCTCGCCCAAAAATCGCTTAAAAATGTGCTATATAAATAAAACTTGATTTGATTTGTTGTCTAAATGGAGATCGGCTAAGCTAACGCAATATAGGCTATATGCTCCGACCGTCCACACTCACAACGGCCTATACAGACATAAATAAACCAGCGACTGTATTCGCCATAACACAGGCACTCAGTGGTTTGTACTTGTTTAACTTTTGTCTAGTTTCTGAACAGATATGAGGAGCTTGAATGCAAACAGCTAACGACTGATGATGTGGTTTTTTCTGGGGTGCTCACAGGTGCTCATTGAAGATGATGTCACGGCTCCGCCTACACTGCGTTACTATAGTTACTGCCCCAGCTCCTAAACTGTAATGGAAGCGCAGCATTAAAGTGAGCCGGGCCTAATAAGGCCTAACCAAACCGAGCGAGGCCGAGCGAGGCCTGCGGTGGAAATGCGCCATAAGTAACATAACTTTAATTATTTACCCACTTTTGTTATCATTATTATTTACCAGGAACATTTTCATCATATAAGGAATAGTTCAACATATTTGGAAATGCCAACAAAATCCAATATAACGTCCACTTACTAAGCACCTATAAAGCTAACAAATTGCTTTGTTGGCAGAGTGTAAAGATGTCCAAGAGATTCTAGGAGGTCAGTGTTTTTTCCTTTAAGTATTTAACAGTGAAGATCACCTAGTGAGATGCAGAAGGGTTGGTAAGGGAATTTTGGACTTTTGGACAGGGCCAAGCTAGGTTTTTGCACTGTTTACAGTCTTTGTGTTAAGTAAAGCTACCACTACTGTAGATTTAAAGCTCAATAGTGATAATTGTTTTTAAGCTAAACAAGCTTAAATACAAAAAAACACTCTTACATTACACAAACCAGTCTGTGGTCTGTGCAGTGGTAACCACGTCTTTGTCTTTTATATATCTTTGTATAAATATGTTTGTCTTAATTAGATATGCTTTGCATGTGGATATATATATTTTTATATTTTCTTCTTTTCTTACGGTCATGTTTTAGAAAGGCCCTATTAGTTTTGGGGTTTTTCCTTTCCTGAAGTGTGTTCGATAGGTTTGTGTGCATGTAAATTGTCTGAAAAGGCTCAAATCCCTGTGTTCCCTCCAGAGGGAGTTTCTCTCACAAACAAACACACGGAAATGTAAACCTGATTTTCCCCCTGGCAGCACCACATGTAGTGCTGGGATGTTTCTCATGTCTACAAATGTCCAGGTGTGGCTGCACTGAACTTAAATGACCCTGATCCTTTAGCCACAAAGCTCTATTACCCTTGGTGCCTTTTATGGACTCCAGCTAATATAGAACATCTCCCCTTAGAGGCAAGAGAAGATCATAAACTTCTTATTAAATAAGTATTAGAGGGAGGTACATAATCATGTAATGGAAAAATCAACACGGCTGCAGGGCATTTTGAACAAAAAGCCAGATTTGTAATCATTAGTTAGACTAAGTGTGTGTGTACGGTACCTTGAGCCCAGGTGGACCAGGTCGGCCAGGGTTCCCATGGGGACCGGCGGCGCCCTGTGAAACAGCCAAACAGAGAATAACATAATCAAAACAGTGATCGAGATCTCAATCAATCATCATATTGGGATAGAGCCGATGCAGACTGTGGCTACTGTGAATGAGACTAGAAAGAGGAAGGGGGGGCGGGGGGTAAAGTCTGTCCGGAGAACCTCAGCTTTCATGCTACTTAACCTATTTCCCTATACATCAGCTGTGTGTGTGGTGGTGAAGTATTTGGGGTTGGTGTTTGGGGTAGAAGCTTATGGAAAATGGGTCTGTGGAGCTGCTTCACCATATGGTGTGGTTTTCCTGGCCCCCCTGTTGACTCCTCTTCACAACCCCCCTTTCCTCCAGACACACACACACACCACACACACACACACACACACAACACGACACACACACACACACACACACACACACACACACACACACACACACACACACCACACACACACACACCACACACACACACACCACACACCACAAACACAACACACACACACACACACCACACACGGCATCTTCATGAGTAATTGCAGATCATCTCCGTATCATAACACTTTGAATTCCTCCGCTGGTGTGTGTTTCTGTCAGCCTTGGCTGAGAAATGAACAGGACTGTTGTCTGAAAGCAAAACAGAGTTGAGATCTACAGTAGCCAGCATATTGGTAAATGTGAACCACCTCGCCACCGTCCCCAAAAGCCCCTCCCTGGAAGGCTTAGCCAGAAAACCTTTGAAGAAGGAAGGAATAATCATCTATAAACCAATTTCATGACAGAAACAAAGAGTTTGAAGCTACATCCCACCATCCAAATATCTGTCTACCTTCTCCTCAATCTGAGAGTATTTCATGTGGATCTCTGACCCAACTCCTTGCCCCCCACGTGCTGTGTCACCCTCGGCCCCCTACCCACCCCCGGGAGGGGCGTCAAGGTGTCCGGNCCACTCTGCTTCAGCCCTGTTTCCAAAGTGCTAATTCTCTGTCTGTTACTTTAGATGAAAATCCAAATCTCTCTCAGAGGGGCGTGGGGAGGGGCTCCTTATTTTCATCTAAAGTAACAGACAGAGAATTAGCACTTTGGAAACAGGGCTGAAGCAGAGTGGATTATGGGATGTTAAAATGGGTGATCTGTTTGGTATTTCGAGCAAAACACTTCAGATATATATTGATGAAAAACAGTATAACAGGGGACCTTTAGAATAAATAAAAAAAATTATTTAGCAACTTTGCTAGATGTAGTCATAAAGTGTTCAATGTTAATATTCAACTTGATCACAGTTATCAAAACTATGCAGATTCTCATACCATTAAATTATTGTATCATTGCATTAGAAGAGAGATATTCTGTAAATCAGATTTACAGGAGGCTACAGGAATAAAAGTGTTGTCCCTGAAGGTCTGTTACAGAGTCCATATGCAGCTACAGGAGTCCATAATCCATAAACACTCATGTACACTCAGTTTTTGTTATGTTATATTCTGTGAAAATATGACCCTCTTGAGACACATAATGTTGGCTCTTTGTTTATGATAAATTCCTTTATGTACATGTGCAATTCTCCTACATACACACATGTACATGTGTGAGGACTTTAGGGTCAATGATTGAAGACACTGTTGGTAGACTTCTATGTACTATTTCCATTGCCTCTTAGCACACAGTAGAAAAGCAAATGTACTATGAATTGCTGACTGCTGTAGTTTTTATGCAGAGGATTTTCCTTTCAACTAAATCCAAACCATCGTTCTCCTAACAAGAACATCCGTCAAATACAAAGCACAATGATCTCCTGTAGTTTCCCTGCAGGAGCTACACAGTGTATTATTCATACTCTTTTTCCTCATTTATGCAAGACAGTTTACTGTACGACACTAATCTGTCTGAAGCTCCCCAAAGAGCTGTTCCAAACCAAAGTCTCTCCATTTAGCTCCAACCCGCTGTTCAAACTAACAAATCCACATGCTAATCATCATTGTAATTATGGGATAAGTCAAATCGACCATCATTTTCTTTGCATGTTTTGCAAGAAGAGCAACAAATCTGTCTTCCACTGTTTAATAGTGATACTGCATTAAAGCACAACATGCTTCTGAAATTGCGAAGCCGTCTGGAGATGAGACGTTTCTCTTCCGCCGCGGTGGATTTCAGCCAAATTGTCTGGATAGGTTCCTGCAGTTGTTTGGTGCGTCTGTGCCCGCAAGACATCCGCGCAGAGGCTTTATGTTGGGCTGTACGTGCAGAACATGCATGGAGCCATGAAATTACTCTGAGCAATCATCTGGCCCCACGCTGCAGAGGGAAGTCACAAAGAGAGAGAGAGAGAGAGAGAGAGAGAGAGAGAGAGAGAGAGAGAGAGATAGAGAGAGAGAGACAGAGAGACAGAGAGAGAATGGATGAAGGCAGAGATGAATGAGCTGAGCAGTGTGTTTCTGCTACCAGACAGCGGAACACACATCTTCATCATTTGTGGTGTACAGTTGTTAACTATAGATTACCTTTAATTTGATAAGGAGAAATGCAACAACATGTGTTCTGTCTGGTTTAAAGTCTTGAATCTGGTAGAGACTTTGGGATAAGTACCATTTTTTATTTTCTAGACCACAAACAATTTTACACTTTTTTTCAAATGTCAGGATTTGTTTCAAAACTCAAGAAAAATAACATTCCATATGAGATGTTTTTGCACCCCTATGTGAGCGTATATATTTAAAGTTTTCGACTTTAGTTTTAGATTGTACCAAATACTTAATTGTGTTTGTAGTTTTTGAGACTCAGCTCAAATACTTTAGTAGAGGACAGCTGTAGTGGGTACATGGTAACTGGTAATGAGTCAGAGGAATCACAAATCTTCTGCAGACACAATATGTCTTTTATGATCATTTGTTCTGAAATGGGCTTCCCTGGGGTGTTCCTCGACACAGTGGGGTAACATGTGGTGGACAAAAGTGTTACAAAGAGCTAGCGGCGAGCTAAATGAAAAGCATTGGGTATGTTTATCTGATTGAACACACATGCTCATTAAACAAGTGTCGCGAAACACAAGAGGCCGGTGGGAAGGGCGTTCTCATTAGAGAGCTCTAATGAGCGAGATAAGATCAGAGATGACCGGGTGGGGTTAGGAGGTGGGGGGCGGTGTGTGTGTGTGTGTGTGTGTGTGTGTGTGTGTGTGTGTGTGTGTGTGTGTGTGTGTGTGTGTGTGTGTGTGTGTGTGTGTGTGTGTGTGTGTGTGTGTGTGTGTGTGTGTGTGTGTGTGTGTGTGTGTGTGTGTGTGTGTGTGTGTGTGTGTGTGTGTGTGTGTGTGTGGATCATGGACCTCATAGCACAGCCTGGGAACAAAAGCCTCTACACATGTTTGTACTAACTATGTTATGTCATTAGATGACAATGTACCTGTGTCTTTGTGCTTGAACGCCGTGTGTATTGTGTGTTTCTCCTCCTCGGTTTGATGAATACATGTGCACACATTGCAGGTGTTTACATTACAGGTTATCAGTTTTGTTTTATTTATCCTGCCACTTTTATGCATTTTTTCTATGTGATTAACAAAGACTGATTAAAGAAGAAAATACACACAAGAATATTAGTAGTAAAGAAATCAATTTAGGAAAGGATAGAGGGTCCATCACTTGTATCTTGAATAGTTCCCCCAAGTCATTAAAATCCTTGACAGTTTTAGAATTTAAGGGAAGAATGTTGAGGCCTCGAACATTTTAAAAACAGACATAATATATTGAAAATTGTTTGATTTTGGATATATTTCTGCAAGAAATCTCAGTCTCCATTACTGTCTCATGAGAACGGCATTGGATCACTACATCTCCTGAAAGATGGAGGGCTGGAGACCAACCTGACGGAGAAATCGAGGCTCATGGCAAAATATTTCAGATTCAGACACATGTAGGCGAGTCAGACAAACATGAATTCATCATCACGATATTATAACTGCCCAACATCAAATGGAAATCTTCTAAACAGGCGCAATGTGTCAGCACTTGCATCCATCCCAGAACACTGCTCACCAACAGTGCTCTCACAAACTGATGGAAAACACACACACACACACATTTCCACTCGCGTTACAGCGCTCTCTCAGCACCTTGTAACATCTCTGTTTGTGTATTACTCACGTATTTTCGAGCGTCTCCTCATAGTGCTCTTTTGATTATGTCAGCATATGATGTGAGGTGTAGCAAGACATACTCCAAAAATGAAAGGAGCTTTGATTTGTCTTGGATGCAGAGAGAATGGTACAATGATGAATGATTGGGTCTGTGATGGAAAAGGAAACTAAAATATACTTTGTTGATTTAGGTGCTGAACGTGGAGTATGATGCTGACGTTTGCAGTTTAAAGTGTTGGGATGAGGGTGAAAGCCAGTGGGAGTGATGGGGTAGCATCATGAGAGAAGAGATGCTGCTGCAGTCAGAGCTCAGGGCTGAAAGACGGTTTACAGGAACTCTGGGAGTGTTGGCCCGGTTCTCTGGAGCTGTGGTTTAGGAAAACGGGACATCAGGAGGCTCTCCTTTCTTTGCCCTTCTGTTTTTATTTTGTTTTCCTTCCCTCTTTCCTGTCTCTCTTTTTTGCTCTCCCACTCTATTAAACTGTGGTTTTGAATGGCACGTCTTCCCACCTTTGATTTAGTTTCCGTCCGCTCTTTGTTGGGGGTCCGTGTTGCTGCAGTCAGCAGAACTGTAGGGCAGCACTATGTCAGGCTGTCTTCAGTGTTGCAGTTTGCTCTGCAGAGATATCTGACTCGAACAGGAAGGCATTTATATCCTCGACATGCCAGGATCCTGGCACGGCCTCAGCGAGCTACATTTCTCTCTGAACACGGCCAGTGGAAAGTCTGATCCTCTGACAGGAGGGCAGATTGATTCCTTGCATATGGCACTGAGTTTTTATCGTTAACATGCATATTCTACTCTGCACAAAACTCAATTGTTCTGGTTTTTCTTTGTCTGTGAACAGTTTTAGTGTTTATGTCACCTGTTGATTATTTTATTCTAGAAC